AACGAGCCGCGAAAAGTATACGTAGAAAACCGGCTTTACTGGAAACCGACCATGTCCACCTACTCGCCGTGCCGATCCACGAATCGTCCTCCGTCTTAGACAGAAGTACGAGCGAAATTTCAGGTCGAAAGGCATATTTGAGGTTCTACGAGATGCACCGAAACTTGAACTTTCCGTTGAAGATTTTAGGAAATATCTCCTAGGAGGCGAGATAGAAATCGACGCTAGATTCGTTGCAAAAATGGCTGTAGTTGCGGCTAACGACGCCAGCGATAGTCCTACAGCTTCGATAAAAAAACGCCTAACGATAAAAAAGCTTGCTTGTAAACGCCGTCCCGCTTGCTCCGCTTGCCAACGTGTACGAGCGTTTCGCCCAAACGGCTGAACTTTCCATCTACGTAGGAACGCTAACGAACGATCGTTCGGACGAAAAACGATAGGCCAAATCGACGAGCAAAGGCTGGCAAGATCGAGGTCTCGAATCAGGGACGATCAAAGACGTCTTTAAGATGGCAAATATATTATCGCGCGTCGTCCGTTTCCAGAGTTTTCTCTCCGTAAGCTCGGTCCGTAAACGATCTATCGGTTGCCGCGAAACTCCAAGCCTTTTCGCCAACTCTCCGTATCCGATCGCTCTCCTTCTCCCTTATCCGTATCACCCGTCTCTAATAAGAAATATGTTTAACCGAATCTTATCACTGAAAGACACGTCTCACCTCTAGCGCACAACGAAACGATATACGAAGTCGAAGCTGCGCGCGGCACATGGAGAGAGGACAGCTCTTGTCTTTTTAACCGACTTCGAAAAGGAGGAGGTTATCGATTCGACGAGTATGTATCTTTTATGTATGTCCAGCGATTATTCCGCAGCGGACGATCGTTCCTATCGGCATGAGAAACGTTTTACGTTTCGTAGAGGATGTTCCCCTGGTGGTCTCGCTGGCAGAAATTTGCCGATTCGTCGGTCGCGAGTCGAACGATTTCCGCGAGTAAGCCAAATCTCGGACACGTTCCGAAACTGGGAAACTCCGCCGAACTGCGGTCCGCTCGTCGGATGACACCGATCCGTTGTGCAAGCCAGATCCGGATCGTCGTACGCGAGGATCGTTCGCGAGGATCGTTCGCGAGGATGCGGGATCGTACCCGTTACGCACGATATTTACACCCTGACAGATCGATCCTCGAACAACTTGCCGGGAGGAGTACCATCCGAACGTATATACGCGTTAAAGCGATAAACGGATATCGTTCGATATCGAAGCTCCGTATCTCGTCGCGTTCGCGTCTTCGAAGCGATCTCGCGGATTTCAACCACCTCGAGACGT